TGTGCAAAACCAAAACCCCCCTCAACTTCGTGACTACTTCTACTGTAATACCTAAACTTTTGTGACTTTTTGTTCTTCCTGCAAGGTTGGTAAATCATTCCATGGTTCAAACCCAAAATCACAGCTGTTTCCAGCTGCCTGCCAGGGTCTCAAATGCTTCTGACCTGGGCCCGGAACACCCAAAAATGTCTGAGGGACATTTGGAGTTCCCGCGCCCGGGGGCGGGGCCGGGGCTGCAGCGCCGCCCTGTGGCCACAAGGCGGCAGCACCGCCCGGCGGGAAAGGGCGGGGCCGAATCCCTTTGGAAAAACCCTCGGCGAGAAACGGCCCAAAAACATCCCGCAAGGAAAACGGAGCCATCCAAAAAATACCCTGCGTCTAACCCAGCAACAACCAAAAGGAAAAAAACCTTTGCTTTTAAACTATATTTCAATGTGTTTATTCATTTTTATGTTTTTTATATTTATATTCACGTTTTGATATATAATGTACATTGGTGCATAATGATAATTTTATAATTTCTTACATTTATTCCTATTACTTCTATTTTATATTTTATATTTTTATACACAGCTTAATATAGTGATTACATATCTAAATTTCTATTTCAAAATGGCCTATATTGTTTAAAATAAAACCCCTGCCTCTACGCATATAAATCTAAGAAAAGCCCTTTCTTTTAAACTGCGTTTAAATTTAATTTATATTTTTTCACATTTATATACATATTTACACTTAAAATGTATATTGATGTATGTTGTTATTTATATTCTATCTCTTCTTATTACTCATATTTATTTATATTTTATATTTATATATATATCTTAATAATTGATTATATATTTCTATATTTAGAATTATATCAAAATAAAATGTATATTCATCTTTTTAAAATAAAAACCCTGCCTCTAACCAAATAAAAACCAAAATAAGCCCTTTCTTTAAAACTACATTTAAATATTTATATATTTTTTCATAATTATATTCACATTTGCATTTATAGTTTATATTGATGTATTATATTTATGAATATATATAATATATATAATAAGGTAACATGATAAATTATTATTTATGTTTTATTTCACATATACTGGTAATAGTTATATTCACTTACATTTAAATTTTTATATAGATCTTAATGTGTTTATGATATATTTCTATACATCGATTTCTAATTTTATTATATTTATAATTTTTATAATAAACCCCCTACCTACTACAAAATAGAAAATAAAAATCCCCTTTATATACATATTTCTATATTTATATTTTTGATACTTAAAAGTTCTTATATATTATATTACAATATATTGATGTACTGTATTTAGATATATAATATATATTAAATATAATGTGTTATATTAAGACATACACAGTATAATATGTATTATGTATTGTATCGATTTCTATGATTTTGTAAATTTTATATTTACATATCTACATATATTAATTATACATTTCTATATTGAAGTTTTATGTGGTTTTTGTTTATATTTATAATCCCTATTTGTATGTATTTATAAAAACATATAAAATATTCTATCTAAAACACTATAATATCTTAGAGTAATGTATATTATTTATGTTACATGTTTTATTTACATGTATTCTGTTTATATTTAAAAGTGAAGTTTTATTTCTATGTATTCTGTTTATATTTAAAACTGAAGTTTTTTATTCCCATTTTCATATTAATAGATTTGTTTTGTTTAGGAATAGTTATGATTTTGCATTTAAATCAAATTCTTAAAAATAAAACGACAAAACAAACAGCATCAAATTCCCACCAATACCGTCCAAAAAAATCAGCATGGCTCCACCAGCCAACGAATTAACAGCAAAAACTCCCTACTACACTCTTTACACTAACGATTCTTATCACATTACAAAAATTAAAAGAAAAATTAAAAAAAAAAACCTATAGAAACCCACACAGCAAATCACAAAAACCACTAAAAAGAAAAAAAAATTCCAACTAACTTACTAAACTCCAAACCCTACAACAGACCCTGAACGTTACTAAAAAAATAACCAAAACTCTATCCCTGCACTAACTCATAAGGAGAACCCAAAACTCTGTGAAATAATTTTAAAAACCCACCAAACTAATTCCCGATATAAAAAAATCTAAACCACTAAGAAAGAAAAAAAAAATCACCACCCAAATAGTTACCTAAAAAGTCCACTATATAAATACCCATGTTCCCAGAAATAAAATTAATAAAAACGCATCAAACTACAAAGGAAAAAAAACCAAAAAAACAAACGAAAAACAACGATTTATATTAACAACAACAAAATTATTTCTAACTCAATGAACACATAACGCCTCAAACCATCCAAACGAAAATACCGCCTAGAAATAAACACGACGCCAAAAGATAAACGTAACCTTAAACAATATCTCCCAAATTATACGCAACAATAAAACACACGCGGCAATCAAACAAATGAATAAAACACCTATAATAGAATAAACAAAAATGCAATTATTAATATTTTAAATCTCGGTAATTAGCTACAGGACACTACCCCAAACCCACCAAAACAAACAGTACGCACTCAGGAAATAAAAGCCCGGAGCGGACGGCTCGGCTCCAAATTCCCCTCCCGCCTCAGCCATCCCCGGGCACTGCCAGCGGGGCTCCCTCAATCCAAATTTACCTCAATCCAAACACTTTAAAGGACGGACAACAGGACAGCCCCCTCCATTTCAATCTCAGGATGATGAAAAATGAGGGGCTACCCTTAAGTCAAACCCATCATACGACAATATTTTCCCCTTTCCATTTAAAATAGAACGCAGGGATTCCCTGTCTCCCCTGCGATAGCTGTAACACCCTGGAAAAGGCAGGTTTTCCCTCAATACCCTCACAAGTGAAGAGGGATCCCCCACTAGTTCTGGAAGAGAAGTCGGTACCCTCAATTTGAATTTCTTTTGTCCTCAAAGTCCTCCTTTTTTTTTTTTTTTTTTTTTTTTTTTTTTTTTTTTCTGGGAGCACCGTGAAGGGTTTGGAAAGACGAAATTTCAAAGGGAAAGGAGAAAAGTCCCCGCTACAAAGGCGCACCGGCTCACCTGTATGGCCGCTGCTTCTCGGCACAAAGGTTTGTCCCTCGGCTCCTCCTTCGAGCGATGCTCCACGTATCCAGGTGGGTATCCAGGTGATCCCCCGGACCGTCCTTCCATGGACAGCCCCGGGAGCCCCCCAGAAACTCCTCTTCTCCAGCAGCTCCGTGTAAAAGCCAGCGGCGGCAAACCCTCGCCCTAAAACAACCTCCCCCCGGCAGGAGCCGCCCCTCCTCCTCATCCTCACAGCTCGCACCTGCGGCTGCTCGGGGTTTCTTTCCAAATTTTAGAGATAAATTCCTATTCTTTACCAATAGCTGTGAAAACGAAACCCTTGCCAGGGTTTAGTATTGTACACACAGCCCTCCCTGGGAATTTTGGGGCAGCTTTGGGTCCCTCTGGGGGACGGCACCCAGTGTGACCCCCCCCTCATTCGCCACCCACCCGCTCCCCCACCGCAGTGTGCCTCTCCTAGGGACCTTGGGGTGCCCCAAACCACATCAGAGCCCCTTTTCCTGACCCCCAAAGAAGGCACAGGACGAGTCCAACTGCCCTGGACAGCAGCCCAGCACTCCCTCCCAGCCCTTTCCACACCTCCATCCCCCCAGAAAGGGACTCTGCTGCAACAAGAAAGGGGGGGCAGCCCCCAGAAGGGTTGAAGCTCCTGCCCAGTCTCGCTGTTACAGGCCAGGGGCAGAAAGAGGGAGTGGAAGCAGAGAGGACACAGGAAGGAAAAGAAGAACAGCGTGCAGGATGAAATTGGAAACACCCTCCCCTCCAAAAAAAAAACAAAAAAAAAACAAACTGGGATGGGCAGTATGACATAGAGGGATTAAAAAAGAACAGGAACAGGGAACAGGACACAAGGATCCCATGAAGAACAATGGCACAGGGAGCACTAGAGCCACAGAGAATAAAAAGGAACACGAATGAAGCATGGAGAAGGACAGAGAAAAAACCAGAGTGCCAAACACGTGGCAAGGACAGAGGGATACAGAGACACAGAGGGAAACAAGGACCCAGAAGGGAAACAACCACAGCACATGCCAGTGCGGGGATGATGGGCAAGATGCTTCTCCTCCAGTCACTACACAAGTGCAGCTTCCTTGCAATTTCATGCTCAGGGTCTCCTCCAGGTGAACAAACAGGTAACTCCCAGCATCGCCTTCCTTTGGGCAGCACAGACCCACCGGGAGAACCTGGAATCCAAGGATGGATCTAAACATGGGAATCCTACTTGCTACTCTCTCCACCTTTTCCCCAGCTTAGCCCTGGGCTGGGAAACAAAAGACAACAAACATTTAAAAACCAAACTTGAGGTGTCTTGAGGATGCCCTGGCCTGGGAGAAAGCCCTTCCCACCACCCTCTTGGCCTTTTCCCACTCTGAGGAACTGTGGAAATGCACATCTAGACCCAGGATGGACAGCCTGGGATGTTTTCTGCCACAGCCCTGAGCACCAGAAGCCTGCAGATGCTCTGGATTGCAATTCACAGCCTCAGTGAATCCTGCATGGGAGAACCAAGTCATTTGTGCCCAGAGGAAATACAAGTCACTGTTTTTAATAGTTTAAATATCCGTGGAAGTTACTGGCTGCTTACAGCAGTGAGCTTCATATGGCCTCCCATACTTATGGATTTATCAGAAGAAGCAGTTTCTGGTTCCTTCCTTTTGAAGCCCAGCTCCAAACGGGAAACTTCTCATGACTGCTCCTTCAGGAGCTCAGGAAAGCGACTCCCTCCCCTGAGTCATGTATCACCTGCCCGAGCACCCACAGTGCTTTTGTACCACCTCCCTCCCAGCTTTATTTAAATGTCAGAAGCCTACAAGCTCTGCCTCCAGACCCAGGCACATCTTCCCTGTGCCCCAGCATTGCCCCACCTGCTTGAATGTTCTTGGAAATGTCTGAGTGCCACACAGGAAAACATGGATTTTTATTTTAAAGTAATTTTATTTTATGCCTCTCCAGAATTCCAAGCACAACATGTGTATTACTGAAGGAAAACAACACAGACCAGACAAGTTTATCCATCAGCAGTGAAACATGCCCTTCACACTGCGGGTGCACCTGTCCTTTGGAGCTCTCCTATAGTCCTGGCAGTTCATCTCTGCACTGACAGAGGAAACTGCATGGTTTGAAGAGTGCTGAGATAAAGGAGGATACATTAGGAGGGCCATGGATATAAAATAAATTAGAAGCATCTGTAAAAGTTTCTTTCATATACAAAATAACTTTTCCTTTTTTGGGGGTGATTTTCACTTTTTAAAATTGACAGTCTGTACACAGATAAACCTTTCCCCAGAAATCATTTAAAAACGCTGGTTTTACAAGGAAAAAGGAGCCACTCAAGAACCCATCCTGTAAACCCACAAGCCTCTCCTCAGCTGAGGGTGCCAATCTTTGGAACCAGTTCTGCCCCGGGAGTGACACTCTGCTGCTGATGTCTTCAGGGCCCCCAGAGTACGGAAGAACCGAATCACCACCCTGCTGGCTAAATCAGAGCACTGAGTGCCCCCATCCAGTCCTTTCCTGAACAGCTCCATGGAGGGTGACTCCAGCTCCTCCCTGGGCAGCCCCTTCCACTGCCTGACCATCCTCTCCATGGAGAAATTCTTCCTAATGTCCAGCCTGACCCTCCCCAGGTGCAGCTTGAGGCTATGACCTCTGGTGCCATGGCTTGTTACCTGGGAGAAGAGGCCACTGCACACAGCCTGGCCATGGTGCCCTTGCAGGTAGACACCCCACAGATTATTTGCAAGTGTGTTCTGGGACACGTGGTGAATGAGACACTTGGCTGAGCGTGGCATTTCCACAGCCCTGGCCTGCTGAGTTTCCCTAGGAGTCAGAGTGAAGCACTCAGCAGTCCTGCTTTGAGCTCCCAGAAGCTGAATTACAGAGCAGGTGTCAGTGAAAAGGAACTTGCACACCAGGTGGGTAACCTCGTACCAAGGAGATGCACGGCCATCTGCAGCTTTCAGGATGTCAGATTTGTTTTGCTGCCTTGCTGTACTACTCTAAAACCTAAGGCAAGAAACTTAGCTTTAAAATGAAGACTATTACATTTCTAACCTCCCCCCGCCATTAGTCACCATTAGAACAGAGACAAGAAGTACCAGCCTGTGCTGCTTCCAAAATCTTGTACAAAAATAGATCACTATGTCCTTTGGGCAGTCTCAAAATTCTGCAGATTCTTCTTTCACCTCCTGCTTCCAAAAGGTACAGTCAGGTCCCGTTCCCAAGCCTTGTGTGTTGGTCAGAATCACGGACAAATGAAGTTTGTATTCACTTTCCTTGGAATTGCTATTTGGAATCCATCCTGTTCCCATTCTCATTGCTTGGATTTCTTTATGTTTTCTCTTTCTTGTCCCAGAGAAATGCATTGGCAGTGCAAACACGAAGCAGGTATGATGAGACTCCTGCCCACCCCCCTTCCCCAAACAGCAAGCCATCACCTGGCATTGCCCAAAGGCCCCCAAGGCGTTATCTGCACGCACAGGACTCCACTGTCATGTTGGGGTACACCTTCAGAACCACGTTCTTGTTTTCATCAAAGAACAGGATGCTAAGGGAAGACATTTTGTCAGGAACACAGCAAGGCTCGGGAATGCCAGGGACGACTCCGACAGCTCTCACAATGCTCTGGATGGTGGCGTGGTTGGATGGCTTCATGGCCTGCGAGAGAAAGACATGGCAGAACATGTTACTGCGCCCACATTGCCATGGATTCATGTACTCTACAATAAAATTGCTTTGTTGAAGGGCCCTGTTGAGACCCCTCAGCTGGAACATCTGTAGCCAGTGGCACTGCTGTGGAAGTGAGCCTCCAAGACAGCTGTGCCTCACACTAAAGTGACATTTTCCTCAGGGAAGAAACTTTAAAGGACAAAGTTTCCTAAATGTATAGAAAGGGACATGCTTGGGTTTGCTCTGAACAGAAAGCAAATCTGCCTGCTAAGGTAACTGCTTGGTCACAAAACCAGAAGCCATTAAGATGTTCATAAAAATCAAAAACCAACACAGAGAAATGAAAAGCACAAAGTTTTTTTCCGAACCTTGATGCAAGTATCTGTACAAGAGATAGGTGGGTATGAAAACTGCACAAGACACAGCTTTTAGCCAGGGACTTTTGCTTTGGTTTTTAGAGTTGCTCTTACACACACACAACGTGGGGAATCAGAACAGTTCAGTGTGTATCCCATCACATGTCGCTGGGAAATATACAGAACGAGGTCGTTTTGGCCAAATGTTCAATTTGCAGTTTTGCTGCAATGAGAGATGACTTGGTCCTGTGAAAAAAAGTCAGTCTTAAGGTTTAGATATGGACCTGCAAAAAGCGCAGGAATAACTGTGAAATCCAGCTCGTCATATCATTTGCACAGCACATTAGTACATGAAGTTGTAAGTCTCCATCTAGGCTGATCAAAGACATTTCTGTCGGTTTGTTTTGAATGCAAGAGTACCTATACTCCTCAGCAGTAGCAGCCAGGGATTTAAAAACATGTTTTAGGTTATCATAAACTCAGATTTCTGTATTATTTCTGTCTTCAAAGGGAAGTGAAAGCTCTGGTAGTGCCCAGCCACGCTTCCTTACTCAGCTGCTGGGCAGCATTCTGCCCAAAATAACTGGGAGCTAAGCCTGCTGATCCATGCCAAAAGGTAGAACACCTACTGAGATCCCATTTCCTGTAGCCAGTAGTACTAAAACTAAAACCGGGACTCCAAACATGCCACGTAACATCTCCTCATAAACCTTCTCCTTCAGATATGGAATCCAGGGCCCCAAAATGCTACATTGCACCACACCAACTTCAGGCTAAGCAGCACCAAATGGATTTCCAGCATGGCTTTGGGTGGGAACAGCCTGGACACATGATGTCCTAAGAGAGGTACCTCTGAGGGTCAGGGTATCCTCCTGCAAACACGCTCTCAGTAGCATATATGCCACATATATTTTGTAACCAACTGCTCTGGCTTCACTGTGGCAGGACTATAGACTCTGGAATGAAACACTGCAGTGAGTCCAAGAGCCCTGTCTTTACTGATGTTTCCTGCAGCTGTTACTTGTGCATACCCCTCGTTTTAGGCCAGCCTCAAATCCCATGTCCTATTCCCAAGTTTGAGCAGCCTCCAGGACCTACATGTTGCTAAGGTCACTGGACATTTGGAACAGAGTTCATCTGTCTAGGTCACAGGGCTAGGAGCACATCAGCCTCCCCTGCTACTCACGAGCAACCAGCTCATACAGACCAGAGGATATTTTGAAAGTGAGCCAGCCTGGATCCCCTCGGTGCAGTGAATCAGAAGTGATTCACTCGACTCTGTGGCACTCCAGCCACGCCTGCCACTGCCTGGAGCTGGAGCTCTCTGCCCTTGGGCAGCCTTCTCTGCCTGTGGCAGGGCTCTGGGCTCCCTTCCTGCCTACCAAACAGTTTTCCAGATCTGGCTTGTATCGCTGCCTGCCTTTTACTGACATGGGAAACAAAATGCCCCGTTCATGGTAACAGACAGCAAAAAAGCATCACTAGAGACCATACCTTTGGAATTGGGAATTGGCATTCTCCTGAGCAGTAATAGGCATCGAAGGACTTAGGGGAAATGATCCACTCGCTCCAGCCGATGTCTGCAAAATCCACCTTGAGATAGCGCCGGGCGCAATTCCTTGGCTCGTTCCACTGCTTCCTCCTCGCCTTCTTCAGTGTTTGCTCATCAAACTGCAGAGTCTGGGTCTTCTGGAGATGACTCTTCCTCTGCTTCTTCTTACTCCTGGCCCTGTCTGCTAGCTGTGGCTGGAAGGTCTTGTAGGGTTTTGTGCCTTCCCACCCCTGCTCCTCCCCATACTGGTACTTGGCTCCTGGGAGCTCGTTGTTCTGCAGTGGCAACAGGACGTTTGCAGAGCGTTTCCTCCGGCGGTTGTCCACGCTGCTCCTCCTGTGGCCCTCTGGCTTGGGAAGGACCCTTGCCAGAGGATGATGGTGTCCTCGCAGAGTGGAAACAACACTCTCTGGCTCTGAGATAGCAGAATCGTTGGCGTAAATCAGGATGTAGGGTTCGTAGGAGGAAGACGCTCTTTCCCAGGGAGGATGGCCGGTCAGATCCATTTTAACACTGATCAGCAGCTCGTTGTTTTGCTTTGCTTCATGCAGGAGCTGAGTGATATCCTTCCACTGCCAGGAAAGGATATCCTGGTAAGCAGAGGAGACATTGATGAGGAAATGCCCCAGGCTCCGAGTCAGGTTCCCAGCTGAAGGAAAGGTCCAAACCGAAAGACGTATCTGAATTTCAGGTTTCCTGTGCCAATGATGAGAACAGCCACTGGGCTGGGAACAGTTCCATTTCACATGCAGCAGATCACCAATATAATAATACACTGAAGCTGACAGGACATTTTCAGACTCCGTGAGTGATGTCAAGTTAAAAATGTACATCTCCTGGCCTTTGGGGCTCCCTGGAAAAAAAATAATCACATAAGAAAATGGGCATCTAAAAATCTCATCCAGAGGGGACACAGGGCAGTTCTGGCAGCCTTTTGGCTAAGTCAGATACTGCTCATGCCCGAAGTTTCTCTCTAGAAGATTCAGCTACACTGGGTACATTTAGTCATTCCATCCTGGACACTTCATCAATTTTCATGCCAAAGTCAGAAGGTATTTACTAATACAGCTGAATATGCAGGCAGATGGAACTAGAGCATCCCCGGCAGCCCAAAGAAAGCCAATCCAAAAACCAGATTTGAGAGGTTGTGAGGTGGCACACTCCCTTGTGTCTGTGCAGGGGGATGGAGCTAACCTCAGGTACCGCACCGAGCCCAGGGACAGGCTGCTGACACGGGCTGGTCTGGGAAACACGTGGGGGACTCTAGCCCCCACAAGATGCAACAGCAAGGCTCAAGAGGAAGGTGTAATTTTTCCTTTTAAATTCCCTGTGCGCTGCGGTTATGTCCATCCTTCAGAGAAAGAGAAATACTGATCAGAATGTTAAGCTGTAAACCAGGCTGGTAGGGAAAACTCAAATACAGTATAGCTAAGGTATGGTCTGCAGCCCTGCCCAAAGGGCTGGAAACATCCTGACATGTTATGGAAACGAGGGCATGCAGAATTAAATGCTTTTTGGACACCACGGCATGTGAAAAGCCTCTCCAAAGGGTCAGTCCATGCAGTGACAAGCACAGAGATGGCCATGGACTAGGGATGACCAGCCACACCACTCCCACCCTCCACACAAAGTAGGAAGTCCCTAGCCCAGGCAGGTGAAAACACCATTTCCAGTACTTATCTTTCACAGACAGTGACAATTTCATGTTCTGTGTGACATTCAGCGTCTCCAGCCTGCAATATCCCAATGGCCAGTGCCACTCAGGTAAGTGTGGCAAAAGCCTGGACTCTCCCTGTGCTGCCTCATCCCTACCCCAGCAATCCAAGCAGCTTCCTCCTCTTCTGAACATTTTTGTGTCATAATATTCCAATCAGTACATTAAAAAAGCAGGAACTGGTCCCACTAGAAAGAGAGAACCCTTCTCCCTGACCCAGTAGATGCACTGCTTCATGGAATTTTGGAAAAAAACTGCACATCTTCTTCAGTGGAACAGGGTCAAAACAGTGCCACGGCCAAATCATCTAAGGAATCATCTTTGTTTACATGTTCAGCCTTATCTGACAGCAAAGCACACAGGTAACTTCCCACGTGCAGAAAACTCACGTACCACGGTTACAGATGCCTAGGGAACTAGATTTACCTGGAATTCCATCCTGTCTTTTATTCCTCAAGCCAAAACCAGCTCCTGACCACACTTGTACTAGGCATACATGAGGACCTGATCTCTGCTTGGTTTGTAACCACTGATGTAATAAGGTTCATATGTAATTTGGCAGAGCACTGAGCACATCAGTCTTCGGAGCCAGAATTCTGACAGGTGTCCCATGGGCACCTGTTTAAGAAGTTATTATTTGAATCACTGCTGTATGCTGAAGGACAATTTTTGATCTTAATTTTTATTACCAATGCCACTTTAAAAAATCCTGCCTGTTCCAAATTGGCATATTGTATTGGAAGACAAAGGAAGCTACTTTTGTTCATCAAGAAATTCTGGACAGCATGGGGCAGACACAGAGGGAGTCTATAGCTCTGGTTAAAAGCTAAATTCCGGGCTGTAGCTCTATGCCAAGACGAAGCACTTGCAGTAGATGGTGCTATCTTCCTACACAACCACCTCCAAGCTTCCACGGCTCTGAGTTCTCCCATCTTTCATCTGCAAAATCACCTCAAAAACAGTTACTAGAGGACAGCACAGACATCTGTGGATTCACCAGATTCTGCCTCAAGAAACCCAACTGCATGACCTGGGGTTCCATCAAAATTTGGGAGTACTGGATCCAGTACATCACTTGTGTGACGCCGATACCCGACTCCCAGGTGCAAGAATTGCACTGAAATAAGGGCCAGAAATTACCCTTAAAAATTACAGGCATGCCAAGGAAGATGCAACTTTAAAGTAACTACAAAGGTGTCTCTTGCTTAGGAAAACTTCATTTCTTTGAAATGAGACTTTGTTTTTGCCTCATAGGACACGCTCTGCTGGAAACCATTCCTGACTGTTTACTAACAGCTGGAACCCAGCTCCTGGCACGGCAGCTGAACTACCTGTACCTGCTGGATCTTAGGGGCATGGCCCACGCTTCCTCGCCTCCCTGCACCAACCCACAGCTGCAAGGCAGGCTTGTGACTGGCATTAAAAAAGTATTTTTAAGCAAGTGCAGTAGGTCTGTCAAGAGCGACACTGCCGGCACAGATTCCTGTCACAAGGGGGATTTCAGGCATCAATAAGCTGGAATGAGTCTGCTAACATGTGGTGTGTTTACCTTTATAGAGGATGCACTGACATTTTTATGGACTGCCAAATCTATCCTATGGGTGAAAAAGGATGCAATAACGTGGACTATTTAGTTATACAGTCACAATTAGCCATCATTTAAAAGATATATTAAAGAGGTGCCCTTGTGCCCGCTTAAGAACGGATCGGCGTTTCCGGTGTAAAACATTGTTCTCATCAGTTCACAGCCCACATACAAAAGTTCACTCGGAGCTGGAAACGGGAACAAGCTCCTCAACAGAAACAGATTTGGCAGCCAGATTTTCTCTTTTCTCCCATCTTCCTCTTACTTGGCTGCTGCTTCCTAGTTACCAATTTGTGTTCTCTGCTAAAGCAGAAGATAGGATGTGGCTCTCCCTTTTGAAAGAGCATAGGACCTGGTGCTAAAACTGGTTTTACTAATTCCTTTAGCAAAGCAGGTAAGATCACAGCAGGTAGCAACCTGATATAAAACAACGGCAAGTTCACCACAGATTAAAGCTATCAGACACCCAAATAAAGAACTTGTGTAGAAACAGCAACGCTGCATACCCAGGACCTAATTTACATTTCATGATATGAAACCCACAAATCTGCACGTGCACAGCCTAGGTATGCTGAACAGTGGCCACTTGATCTCTTTTCTATATATTTTAAGCAGGAGGACCGCATCAGGTGTGAAAACTAAACACAACATCTAGCTCAAAGCTAGCTAAGGGGGTACATCCACAGTAAACACAAATCTGGGCAGAAGAGCTGACCTCCCTCTTCCTCACAGCCACGATTCATTGCACTTTGGCTGCTGGGGTGAAAAGCAACTTGTGCACAGCCTGCCCTCTCTGAAGCCACAGCTCCTGACCCTGAAGCAATGTGTTCTAGAAACAGGGACCGGCAGGGAGCTGTGAACACAGGTGGCTCACGTGCATGGCACTGCTATGAGACACACAGTGACAGAAGCCAGAAAATTCTGTCCCGAGGGGCCGAACCTACAGATCTTGCCCATTTGCCTCAGAGGCTTGCAGATTTGGGCCCATCTGCCCAAATCACAGCTTAATGTTTGTTGAGTTCCTGAAAAATACCAGGATGCTACTGCTTGCATTGCATTTACAATGATGCAGAAAAAAAACCCAAACCAACAAACCAAAGAAACACACAGAAGGAAAAAAACACAAGTCCCTGACTGAATATTTTTAAAGCTCTTGTTGCAAAGAACCCCTGATACTACTGGTGCTCAGAGGGGCCAGCATTTGGCCTGGACTGGTTTCTGCAGGCTGATGGCAGCCGGCGAGGCGCGGCTTTCCCTGTGCTCGCTCCATTTCCCCTCTTTGCGTGGGCACTTCGCACCACAGCAAAGGAAAGAAAGGCCTTTGGAAAGGGAGGAGAACATAGTTCTAAAACCACAAGAATTGGCCCAGGGGCAGGTTTAATACCTGAAATTACTTGAACTTCAGTCAATAAAAAAGAGTTTAAAGTAATTTCTGACTGTATAGCTACACTATAACACCATTAGGAGGACCTTCCAATTAAAGTCAGGACTCATTTGCAAGCCGTGTTCCTTAAGTGATGCTAGGATTAAAAATGCTTTCAGAAGCAAACCTAATCTGCATTTGAGGCTTTTACATTTCCACTCTTTTATTTTTTCATGCTGTATCTGACCTCCAAATCCTGAGCCTGGGCAGTGAGCAGCACACCTCCAGAGGCAGTGCTGAGGGTAAGCAGATTTCTGCTCAGGTCTCTTTCAGGAGGAGAGAACAGTTGTGTACAGACACTGCTGCATGGGCAGGACCACAGCTTCAGAGTTCCCTTGCCAAAACTGCCTGACTGCTCCACTGTGGCTCACAGACCACCTGACTTTCTTTCCTATATGTCTTTCAGAGCCACAATGGATGGAACACCACTCACTCCTGTGGCACCCACAGGTAAAGAACTCAAAAAGGCCTGTGCAAAGCAACACAAGGACTACGAGAGTCATCCCAGAAATGTCCTGCAACAGTGAGGAGAGCAGCCGCAGAAATCACAGGTTGAACATCCCTTGACTCAAACACAGAGAAACAAATTACAGCAGTTAAGTCCATGAGAGAGAACAGTGTTAAAGTGTAACTAAACACTCTGAGAAAGATGTACATCCTTACTGCACTCCCCACGGATTTCAGGCCTGGGGTTTCGTTTCAGCTTTGTCACAGGCAAAGGTTCCTTTCTCTGAGCTATTCAAACAGATAATTTAGCAAGACTAACAGGAAACAAATTTACCTGAATGATCGCATGAACATTCAACAAAATCAATGGCCTAAACCCCCAGCCCAAACAAGCAACCATCCAGCCTGGTTGTGAAGTCTGGTGCATGAGAGATCTGAGGGCAGCATGGGATGGGGCCTTCAAAGAGGTGCCACACGGGGCTGAAGCTCTGGTCCCATCCCCTCAGAGAACTGAGCTGCTGAAAGAGAAACTTGCTTTTAACAGGTATGAGGATGCTTGTTTTGATTAGTCAGTCTTGGCTGGGTTTTGCTGGTTGTTGGTAACAGGGCTGCAGCTGCCACATGTGACACCACTGTTCTTTGACTAGAAACAGGGATGAGTTTTAACAAATCCTACGAGCCTTTGGTCCCATCACACAATACTCTAGAGTCTCAAAAATTTGTCTGCTAGGTTACCCGAGACATTTGGGAAAGGCTTTTCCCATGTGCTGCAGAAGAAGCAGAAGCGGAAAAGCAAGGACAGAAAGGTTCCACAGCTACATTTGAGAACTCAGAAAATTTGTGCTTCAGAAAGGAAGAGCTTCCCTCCTGAAAATGTCAGACTAAATTGCAAAGTTAAACTGCAAATGAAACCACTGAAAATTTACTTCAAGACCTCTTGCTGTAGATGGAGAAGACACAGGAGGATTCTTGGGGAACTTCTGCTCCTAGCAGACCAAAAGCTGAGTCCTGAAGGGGCCGGCAGAGGGACTGGTAAAATGTGAAGGAGTAACAGCAATGTCACATATTAAATTAACTTATGCGTCCCATTAAGGACAAGGGGAAGCTGGACAAGGGAAAGACTGAAATTTGGAGCCAAGGAGTGCAACAGTCAAAGCAGAGGATCTAGAAACAAAGTACCTTGAAAGGGGAATACTGCTGGATGTGCCATTTTCATGGCAGGCCTTGTCAGGCAGCTGGGCCCAAGGAAGAAGTCAGAAAGAGTCTTTCCATTGCCCCCACCGCCCTGAGGAGCATCAAATATAAGGGCTTTCCAGAAACAAATTTTTCTGCCATCAATAACCACACAAAATAAGCTGCTGCTGCCAACGGCAAGAGAAAGACAATAGCTAACTGGTAATATTTTGCATAAGTACTTAATGAAGTGTCAACAATTTTTAAAACCAATTTATTGCTTTGGCACTTGATCTGTGAAAGTAGTGGAGGAGGAGGAAAGGGATTAGCAAGCAGTGTGTTTATAGGACTGCTGCCACTCAACATCAAGTGAGAATAAAAATATAATCAGAAAGACCACAGAGATGGGATTTCAACCAACAACATTCTAGGTTTAGAGCAATAAATGGCTTTAATTAGATATGCATAACAGAGAAAATATTGCTCTGCTAGGGTCATTAACAAGCTCTCCTCTTTTTTTGGGGGGGGGGTGGGATAGCTGTAGTGAATCCTCTCCTCTCTTGGTAGGCTTAATTCAGTGACAGTCATGGACATGAGACTTCATGAGGCCAGCAAGTCAGGTGAGAAAGGCAAGAGAGCTCTTCAGTAAGAGCAGGGGCTGGGGAGTCCTGGCTCTCAATGCTCCAAACCCAGAGAGGGTAATTATTCCTCTAAAGCCTCTCCTGTGGACAGAAATACTTGCAGGGTTGAAACCTAAGACACCAAAGCCACTGATTCCTCATTGTATTTGATCTCTGCACAGAGCTGCCTAATAAAAGACATTGTTGCTTTTGAAGAAGCAAGGAAGCCTGCTACCCACAGCTCTCTTTCTGAGGACGGGAAGGACTTGAAGCAAGTCACTGAAACTCACAGACAGCTCTCACTTTTACTGAGAGATGCTTGTCCAAGAAAAAGCCAGTGGGTCAGTGAACTGGTGTAAAGAAATTAAGAGACTGGCAAATGGGGCTTCTGTGTGTGCCGTGACAGCTGTCCCACATGCAGCAAGGTTTTGGGGTGCAGCAGGCAAGGGGAAGGACATGCCAGCGATGCTCATCTTTGGGTTCTGGCCATTCCATTTAGCCCTTGTGGAGCTCACATGCACAAGAGGGAAGGGTTAGGGTTAGCACCTAGACAGTGACTTCTCTTTCTGCTAGGACATGGTTCTTTTCAGTTGCTGGCATGTTAAACATGTCCCTCTCCCTTAGAGAAAATGTTTTTACATTTTCACCCATCCACTTGTGCATGCCAGTGCATAACCACGGAGAGACGTAAGCGCCTTTTCCAAAGATGACAAGATGAAGTATTAACGACACCTAAGTCGTGCTTCAGCTGAACTCATCTGCTACTGCATCTCATTGTCAGTAAACTCCAAACCATATCACGGCTCCCTCACGCGCAAATCAGCCCTTGGCCCCAACAGAAGCTACACGTGCAGAACACCACTAACAAACGGGAGACTCCGGAGAAGAGCCGCTAATTACTCCACCTCCCTCGCACTGTACTCAGCCATCGTGATGACAGCGATGCTAGAAGCAGAGCAGAAGCGGTAAGGCAATAATTAAAGCACAGGTCACAACATCAAACACGGCAGTCCTCGCAGGAAGAGATACTCCTCCAATTCTCTCATTTATTCCCTCCACCGAGCTCTCCGGGCGCCACCCCAGCGATGCTCAGGGTCCCCCGTCGTTCCCCGGCCGCGGTGCGCACTCACCTGCCGGCAGCGGGCGGAAGCCGCGCACCGTGTTGCCCCGGCGGAGCCATGGCCCGGGCGGTGCCGGCGGGTCCCGGCCGCCGCGGTACTGCTCGTAGAGCCGCAGCATGTGCTCCGCCACTCTGTCCGCCGCCGCCGGCCGCTCGGGCCGCCGCTGCCCCGGGCCGTCCTCACCTGCGGGCGGCCGGGCGCGGCTGCCCCGCACGGCTCCCGGCGCAGCCCGGCGCCGCAGCCCGAGCCGGCGCGGCCGCAGCGCGTCCCCCAGGGCCAGGCACAGGCAGCCCCATCCCAGGCACAGGCACAGTACCCAGCGGGCCGACGCCGCCATCCCGCCCCTCCGTCCCGCCGGCGGCGCCCGGGGCCGCCAAGCGAGCCCGGCACCGCGCGGATGGCGCGTTCTCCTCCTGGAGAACGAAAAAAAGGGGAAAGCAAAAAAAGGGGAAAAGAAGAAAAAAAAAACGGCAAAAAGCGGGGCGGAGGAAAGCTCCACGGTTTGTACCGCCCTCCCTTCCCGGCGGGGAGCGAGGGGCTTTATTCCCAGCCGCGCAGGTTGGTGTCGGGGAGAGGCGGCGGCGCTGCTCCCGGCACGGCCGGCACTCGCTCGGTGCAGCCCCGCGCCGCCGAGAGACCGCGGCAAGCGCGGCGATCGCCCCGCCCGCCCTCGCTCCGGCGGGGAGCCGCCACCCCAGGGGAGCGCAGCGACGGGACGGGAGGGAGGGGATGCTCTGGAAACTCCATCCCCCTGGGCGGACGGCGATCAAGGCGGAGGACGGTCCCCTGCCCGCCTCCACCCAGCCCCTCCCAAAGGCCGTACAATAACGTGATCGCGTTAAGAAAAAAAAATAAAGAAAATCACGAGTAGCAGCGCACTCACGCTTCTCCCCTGGAACGCCTCAAGGCTAGGCTTGGCTGGGAGAGGAGCACAGTCCACCGCGGGCAGGTGGAAGCGATCCTCACCGGGTTGTGCTGGGGTTCTGCCTGCCTCTCCCGAGTAGCAGCCGCGCTCAGTGACCCTCGGCTTCCTCCAACCCGGCCGGGACTGGCAGAGGTGCCCTCAGCAGCCTGGAACCCGTGGGAAGGGACGCGCAGCCAGAGAAATCCCGCACAAGTTGTTCCTTGCTCGGCTGAGACAATTCTGCGTGCCTCTCGCATTTGCTGTCTTTCAGCACCAAAGGACAGGAATGTCCCACCCGCCCTTGCCAGTGCCACAGCCTCACACAACCGCCCAGCACACACGACGCTGTCCCTTACCCAAATCCGCCTTGCAACAAAGGGGCGCCTCATCTGTACATCGGGCAGGGAACACACGGGAGGTGAAGAGGAGCCTCGCTGCAGTGTCACAGTTTGGAAGTGTGCTGGTTCCCAAGATCAGCTTGGTTTCTAAGCTGAAGAAAGGAGATAGTAAGATTGACCTACAGACCAGCACACGGAGAGTAGCACACAGCATTTTCAGCACAGGGCATTCGGCTTTTCCACAGGCTGCAACAAGCGTATCATTATCCAGCCCTAAATAGAACACTACGACACTTTATGTATTGCCTCTCAAATTACACTGAAATTAGGATCAGTAGCAAGCACTGTTATGCAGTTGTGTAAGTCCATCTGTAACTAGGAGAGGTGAGTGCACACCAGCAGGTAGGGAGGAAAGGGAAGATTCTCAGCAGCAGAGTAGTGATTTTTATATGCTCTGACATTTGAAAGCTCAGATACAACCCATGGCAGTGGCTCATCCTCTAACAGTGCTGAGGCACCGAAGCTGCCATATTCATCTCCAAATCCTAGCCACAGATGTGGAAACACACCACGTCACTATCCATGCAAGTAGTACCTATTTTTCTCTAGGTGAGAAATACACATTAGTGCAATATAAAAGCTAACAAAACAAGCAAACATAATTAATGAGTTCATACTTAAAACATTAAGGTATAATTGCTTTTTTGTGGACATAAGTAATAAAACCAACACAGATCCATGCAGAAAGAAAACAAAATTATTTAAACTGATGGCTAAAAAATTCAGCACAAGCAGCAGCCCCTGGCTTATATCCATGGCAGAACAGTCAATCCCAAAGAAGAATATCTATGCAACTGGAAATTACCATTTCAGGATAATTTCAGATTTCAGTTTTTTCCTACTGTTGAAAGAAGCAACATTAAAAAAAAACAAAAAACAAACAAGCAACAACATGCCACAAGTCCTTAAATAAAAACTGGCGTAACTGAATCCTGTCCTAACCAAGCCATTTGCTGGAAGATGTCATCTTTTGTATATCTCCAACACATCCTCTGAGCAGCTTCCTGACTCTTGAGATCAGACCACTGTAAATTGAGAATTACCTGAGTTGAAAAATTTTTAATAAATCATCAGATAAATTCTCAAGCAAAACGGGATTAGACAAGAACTACTTTTAGTTCAACATGGAAGCTCAAGCACCCTATGGATGAGCTTTTATTTAGCAGAAAGCCCTCTTTATGTAAAATTAAATCCAAATTCAGTTCCCAGAAACTCACCCCAGCACCTGATTGCGGCTAAGGGTCTAAAATGGAAAGTTAGCCCTATACAAACCTGCTACAGCCAGCAAGGAGACAGAAAGAGGACACTGCGTGTGAAACAGAAAGGAAAAAATGACTTCTCGGGGCATTAGGAGCCTTCTCTGAATCCCCCTTTTCAAACAGCTGCTGCAGCTCTCAGGGCGTGCTAAGCAGGCACACATAGGGTTTTAAAAATCCTTTGCTTTATGGGCTGTCCCTGTGACATATCAGGACACTCATTACACAGAGTTCTGCAGCTTGTGAAGTTCAAGAATGTTCCCCACTCCACGAGATTTTTAAATGCCAGAGCCTTGTTGTGAGCACACCATCCAAACCAAACCAAACCAAACCATGTCGGGAGCTCCTCTCCACAGCTGACAAACTCTCACCCCGACCTCCAAGGGAACAGCACTTCTGTGCTTCTCTGCTATTCCTTTTCTGCTTCTTCCACAGAAGTGCTGCAAACCAGTTATCCAGACACATCCTGCCCCTCAGCTACAGCCAGCACAACTCCAGGCTTTATTGGGCCTGAGCAGTTCCATCCTGATCACCACACTCTCCAGCCTGTGCAGCAACTTGGCATTTCAGTTCCTTAGCCCCTGGTAGAGAGCAGGCTTCAACCCAAGTTAATTTTATTTAAATGGTAAGCAAGTCCTGTGCCATCATCAGGGCCAGCAGCCCCTTCAAAAGTGCTATTCAAACCTCCACCAAAACTTCAAGGTTTTCACTTTCTCAGAACTTGCCACAGACTGCACAACCTGCTAACTTTGCAGCCATTTGCTCCCTTTACACAAGCACTCGGAAGTCCCAGGGAACAGGAAACCACAAATACTCCTTCTAGAGGAAATGAAATAATTACATATTTGCATAACAAAGTGATATTAGCAAAATCTGTTCAGCATGTGAAGGCTAACCCCACACTCGTGCTGCTATTTGCCTGGCTCTCAGCTGCTGCAGAGTTCACTCAGCACAGCAACCTCCGCTGCTGTGGCTCCTGCATCCAGCTCTCCTGGCTGTCATCTGGAGAATTCCCCACTGCAGCTCCGCCTCGGCTGCCTCGCCCCGGCCCTCCACACATCTGTTTGGCTGTCTCAGAAGGGCTTCTGTGTGCTCTGCTGTGGCAGGGCTCCTGACTGACACCAATTCTTAGGGTCAGTGACACCAGCTCTGCCCCCCTGGTGTGTTCCCAACCCCACAAGGCCACCCCCATTCTTACCAGACCCCAATCCCAGGTTAAGGTGTGCTGTCCCGCACCCAGGGACCTTGTCTCTTCTCCCTGGGGTCAATCCGACCGCTGATACAGACCGCTGTGCCCTGGTCCTTATCACCTCCTTGCATCCCTGACACACGCACATTGCAGGTACACCAGGTACAAATGAGAATGCTGAGCAGCTCATCATCCAGCAATGCCTGGAACCACTGCACCCATCCAGCAATGGATCCAGCTTGGAACCACGTTCCAAGGACCTCAACGCCCCGTGCTGCCTCTCCCATTACTGCAAACAAGGAGGCATGTGCTCCTTGTAATGCTCCTGCTCAGGGAGAGCAGCCTTTCACAAGGCAGGCCAGGGTAGGAAGCCCTGAGCAAAGCCCCTTGTGCACAGCCATTCCCTGGATCCCCTGTGCTGGCTTTTCAAGGCTCGCCAGCTGGGCTGGGTGTTTGCTCAGGTGGCCAGCAGCAGCCTTCCCCCTGGAGGGGCCCTCCAGCAGAATTTCTTCACATGTTTTTCTCACCACAGAGAACTTCTGCTGCAGGACCCGTAACAGCTCTGCCTGGAGGCAAGCTGAAATAAAACACGCCTTGAGCGAACAACAGCCGCACAACAAGAGCCACGCTCCCCTTCCGTGCAAAGCCGTGTTCTGTACACACAGCTCATCTGCGTGGCCACAGTCCGTTCAGCACCTGTGTTTTTGTTTTCTTTGCGGTGGGAACTGCGGCTTGGCCTGCACTGCTTGTCCCTGCCTGCCTCGCAGAGAACTGCCCAAAGGTTTTAGTCATCTGTAATCTGATTTCTGTGTGTGGGGAGATGGAGTTAAGGGTACAGTTTCCTCAGATGCCTCGTTCACAGAGGGCCAAAAGGAGAACATCTAATGATGTTCTATATTTTCTACTAAATAGTAACATTTTTCTACTAAATAAATTTCTACTAAACATTTTCTACTAAATAATAACATTTTTTACTAAATAATAACAACTCTGCTGTGAATGTGCTAGCAGCTCAGCAGAATGAAGCTCTTCGGCACCAACCTCCTGCTACTTTCCAATTTCACACTATGATCCAAAACAACCACCACAACAACAGATCCCCATGTTGTTGCAAGACCAAAGATCCAGATGTCACATTAAAAGAACAAAATTATGATTTTGGTGGGGTGCTGAAGAAATAGACGAGAACTGAGAACATATACAAGCTATTACAACCTGCAGACCTTAACTGAGGCACACAGTTCATATGTGCTGGAAAAAGACCTACAACTCCCCACACTAGTACAAAATCTTGATTTCCAGGGATCCACTTGCCCATCAATGCCCAAAATCAATTCCCTTACGGCAGTATGAAAACCCTGTACCTGCAGTAAATGTCACAATCGGTGACAACACCAGAATCTCCTTTTGAAAAAAAACTTAGACACTTCCATGCACCTTATGTTTACAGCAAGAAGTAGTTTTGGGCTGGACAGCTGGCATTGGTTTCTGCTAAAAAGCCACAAGGCCTATGAATATACACCAGTAGCTTTCATGTGGTGATCAGTCCTTGGAATGCTTCTCTCTTGATTACTGTGCACTTTGCATGTCCACTTCACTTGGGTCTGATCAGGGTTGAACAGTGACAAGACCTTGGGAACAACACCCAGTGACGTTTCAGGGAAATGGAGCGTAAGGCTGCTAAGTTACTTTTTTATGCTCCGTCCTATTTGTCTAAGAAAATCAACCTTTCCTTTAGAATGTAAGCCAGACCACAGAAGGGTTTGGGGACAGATTTCCACTTAGGGCAGAGGCAGAGCTTCCTCCAGTTAGCATTGGCAAAGGATTATAGCACGTCACTTGGGAGCTTCCGTTTTGTGGTCACGCTCAGGGGTCCTTGGCTTGGGATGTCAGAAGGGACACCACACCAGGAGGGCAGCTCGCATGCAAGCACAGGTGGGCAAGGAAGCAGGTGGGTTTCCTGAGCAGTCAGTGATCCTGTGCATGACTCTGTTTTTATCAAGCGTGGTGTCCTTCTGAGACTGAGCAGAAGCAAACCCAGCAAGACTGCCACTACACTAACTAGTGCTGATGAAGCCATCTTGGACATGACCACTGCAGCCAGAAAAGAACATCCTATAAGACATAGATGATTTTTATAAAAATACTTCCTTTTGGCTAATGAGATCTACAGATGAGCAGCGAAATTATTAATCACAAGACATTTACAGAGAAAGAAAAATTAACTGGCATTACATGGGAGAAAAGATCAATAATCCAAAATAAGGGGAAACAAGGCAATATTGAACAAGAACTTTTTGCTGAAACGCTGTTTTGTATGCGATCAAATTACTTGCAGATCTCTGCTGCAGTACGGGAGATGAGTAGATTCAGCTCGGGGTACTGAGGAATTTTTCAACCAAATGTTTATTCCAAGACCCTGATTGCTCAGACCTCACCAAGGATGTGGGAAGTGCAGTTGCATACCCATTCTTCACTGGATCTTTAATTACTGACATAGCTTAGACAGCAGAGCTTGGAAAATGCAGCCACAAAAGCCAGTAATCGCAGACCCACCCTGAGCTCATCAGGGGCTGTTCTCTGCCTCTTCCTGCTCCTCCCTCTCTTTAGAATTTTAGAGATGCCAGGTCTTTTACAAATAACAGTT